TACTGAATTTATTCATATAGAGGAGAGGAGAGGCAGAGAGGACAATAGTGTGTAGATGAGAGGATTTGTGATATTTGAAAGGGAAAAAATGAGTAGAAAGTAGGCTGAAGAGTATTTTAGGTTGAGTGGTTAAGAGTTGGGAGTTAGGACAAGAGATGGTGGATGGACAGTTAATGAAGCAACCAAATGCTTGTTTTACTGTATTGCTTAAGGTATCTTTTTCCAGTTATTAAAATACAGAGAAAACCATTTCAGGTTAGCTGATAGAACACTCCCAAAGGAAATCTGCTCTCTTGAAAAGTATTTGTTAGAAGCTGTCAGATCAGCAGTGAAATTTTTTAATTCAGACAATAGGTACAAATAGATGCATGAATAGTTCTTATGTGATTGTCATTCTCCCTTACAAAATCATTGGAGTATAAAATATGTTATCTTTTTTTTATTTTTTTAAGATTTCATGACTTGTAGGTAAGTTCATGAGGTCTTTCATGAGTTTAGATGTCAAGTATTTAATTTCATTTTGTTAAAAATGGATTCTATAAATAATACCAAGTACAAGAATGACAGAGCCATAAAAGGATGGAGGGTTGACTGCTCTTCTGGGCAGTGTCTATCAGGATGCTCCTTGATGGCCCCTTCCATTCCTGTCATGGATTGAATTATGTCCCCCCAAAAATGTGTGTATCAGTTTGGCTGGGCCATGATTCCCAGTATTGTGTGGTTGTCCTCCATTTTGTGATTATAATTTTATGTTAAAGAGGATTAGGGGGGAATTGTAACACTCTAACTAAGGTCACATCCCTGATCCAGTGTAAAGGGAGTTTCCCTGGGGTGTGGCTTATGCCACCTTTTATCTTACAAGAGATAAAAGGAAAGGGAAGCAAGCAGAGAGTTGGGGACCTCATACCACCAAGAAAGTAGTGCCAGGAGCAGAGCGTGTCCTTTGGACCTGGGGTTCCTGCAGGGAGAAGCTCCTAGTCCAGGGCAAGATTGATGAGAAAGAACTTCCTCCAGAGCTGACAGAGAAAAAGCCTCCCTCTGGAGCTGACACCTTGAATTTGGACTTGTAGCCCACTGGACTGTGATAGAATAAACTTCTCTTTGTTAAAGCCATCTACTTGTGGTATTTCTGTTATAGCAGCCCTAGATAACTAAGATAATTCCCATTCCCAGAATTCCAGGAAGGGTCATGACCTGAACTTTTCTTGGCAGCCCATACCTTCCCAAGGAAGTGCAAGTTTAGAACTGTGGAGCTCAATTCTTGACATGGTTTTATTACATAACTTCTTTCACTGTTGACGCTCCTAAATGCCCTGGTGAACATTCCTTGTGGATATCTTCTAACTAGTCTCCTTCATTCTGATGATTCACAATTACAAACTTAGGCATTAACCCCACACCTTTCCCCAGCCCAGCACATTCTCTACTCTTGTCTGATCCAAGGCAGGTAGCCTTATCATCAGATCACTCCACCAACCCCTCCCAATTTCTATTAACCTCTTTGTCTTCTATGGGTCCTCACATAACTTTTAATTTTTTGTTCTTCTCTTACCTACCACTGCTTGATATAATAGTTCATTATATGGTGGTTTCAGGCCTGAATCTTTTTGCTCACTCCCTCTCATATACTCAATTCTTTGAGAGTAGGCCACATGTTTTATTCACTAGAATATAAGCTCCGCAGGAACAGAACACTTGTCTGTATTATTCACTGCCACATCACTGGCAACCAGAACAGAGCTTGGGACAAAGGCTCAATGATATTTTGTGGAATAGATACTTTTATTCTTAAGTTCTCTGCATGGCCCAGTTATGTATTTTGTGCATAACTGATCCTTACTAAACATTTGTTGAATCAAATGTACCCAATAAAGAGCTGCTTGGCTCAAAAACACAGAGCTTAATATTTTATAAATTGGAGTTACAGACCACTAAGAAAAATATTTTCTAAAGTAGTTTCCTGACCTTTTAAAACTATGTAATAAAGACATCTCTTCCTGAGAACGGACTTTTTTCTTTCATGAATTTACCTAATGAGGCCTGAGCCATACCATCTGATGCCAAGGCCAAGAATTGTTCAAATTTAAGCTGAAAAAAAAAAAAACAAAACTTCAGCGATGCAACCTTGTTTTAGGAGTGACGGTACTAAGTTCAGAAAAGCCAAGTTGCATTTGGAGTCATTTCTTCTGTTTTCCAATTCAGTGTTCTTCGCACGACAATCTGTTTTAGAGTACAGACAACGGAAATACGTGAGGAAAAACATGGTGTGGAATGACAGGATCTGGACACCTTAATATCAAATCTACAACTACCTATCTACACAGGGCTAGAAATATAAAATCATCAATTCTATCTTCCTGCACTACATATAAAGGAGAACCCATAATTATGGGCTTATTTTGCTCTGTTCTAAACAACCGAATAAACCTGATGCATAGCAATGGTTGAAAAGATCCATTGTGCTGAAAAAATACAGTCAAGATTTCTAAATACTATGAACTTTATAGGAGCCCTGGTGGTGCAGTGGTTAAGAGCTTGGCTGCTAACCAAAAGGTCTGCATTTCAAATCCACCAGCTGCTGCTTGGAAACCCTAAGGGGCAGTTCTACTCTGTCCCATAGGGTTGCTATGTGGGTTTACGAACTTCATCGACTCTGAATTGTTATGATTGCTTAGGAAACACTTTCCTTATACCTCCTTCCCATCACCAGTGAGGGAATACTCAAAATTCTTTTCTTTTTCTTCTTCTCTATCACTTAAAACACACACACACACACAATTGGCAGTTGTATACTTATTTAGGTTAACGATACACTGGATTCATTTGTGGTCTGTTCAGGTCAGATAATATTAAGATTCTGGTGATTTATATACAAAATCTCTTGAAAAGATCCAGATAAAATTTGGATTATAACAAGTTCAATATTATAGTGACATCTTAATATGGCTAAATAGAAATTCATATTTTATATTTATATTTTTATATATGTTTACATTTTAATTTTTCCTCTCAAATTTAAGCACCTATGAAAATAAAATGCAGTAAAATTTCTCTTTAAAATACTTTGTTATTCCATTGACTTGGTCAAATCTTGTTCTTGATAGAAAATAATAATGTGTAATTTCTTTCTCATTCTCTCTCTATAGTCAAATTTATGAGCATATATACATATATATAATTTATAATTAATTTATCACAAAAGGCACTTGAGCTCTCTGAACAATTATTTCCTTGTATCAAATCATCATGCTAGATTCCACTCTTTCAATGAGCTTCTTTTCAAAATGGTTTAATCATTAAAGAAAACTTTCAGTGTCTACTTTGTGATCAAAATTCATTTATTCATTCAACAAATACTTACAAAGTTTCTATGAAGCCAGCCCTGTTCTAGGTGCTGCATACAGAGAGATAAAGCAGACAGACATGTCCCTGCCATGCTGGGGCTTACATTCTATTGTGAGAGAAAGACATGAAAATATAACTGCAGAGAGAGATATGCACAGTAAAACAAAACAAAATATGCTAATGGGACAGAGAGTGACTGGAAGGATGCACAACTTGAAAGAGTGTTTCAGGGAAGGCACCTCTGAGGAGGTAACATTTGATTCGAGATTTGAAAGATGAGTAGAAACCAACTATGTGAAGATGAGCATTCCAGACAATGGTTCTGAGATCTGGCCTACCTGAGAGGCAGGAAAGGGGCAAGGTGAGTTAGGAGAAAGGAATGTGAAGTAAGGTTGGGATGGTAGGGGCCAGATCATATCAGACCTTGTACGTCACGGTAAGGGGTATGGATTTTATTCAAAGAGCAATAGGTTGGAGGGTTTTCATCCAGGCAGTAAAATGATCTTATTTAAAATATTAAAATTGTATGGCAAGGTTGTAGGGAAGTAGGGGATTTAGCAGGGAAGCTACTCAGGAGGCAGATGTACTAGAGATAGAGAGAAGCAGATAGAATCATGTTGTATTTTGGAGATAAAAACAACAGAATTGGGGGCTGGGAGGAGAGTCACAAGAGAATTCCTGGGGTTTTAGTTTGAAGCAACTGGGTAAATGGCAGTGAAATTTACTGGATAGGGAAGACTGAGGAAGAAATGATGATAAGGATATAATCAAATCTCTGCTTTGGATGTGAATGAATATATCAAGTAGATAGATGTACGTATCTGAATTTGGAAAAAAGATGCCAAGATGTACCCAAATTTGATACAAAGAAATAAATATTTAGAAAGAAACTTCTTTTGCAATACATAAATTATAAATTATATATATGTGTATACATATATACACACATATGTATAATATATGTATATTTGACTATATAGAGAGAAGTATGCCAATTTTGGAGATATTAGCATATATATGGTATTTAAAGCAACAAGTAACCTAGGAAGACAACAATGTGGCCAGTGAAGAGAAGAAAGGTGAAGACTGATGCCAGGGCACTCCAGTGTTTAACTCTTGGCCATAGGAAACACAGTCAGCTGAGAAATCTAAAAAAATGGGTGACTAAAAAGAAGGAGGAATACAAAAAGCATATGGCATTGCAAAAGTAAAGTGAAGAAAATGTTTTCTGAAGAAGGAGTGATCAATTGTGTCAAATGTTCCTGAGAGGCTTAGTAAAATCAGGACTGAGAATGACCATTAGGTTTAGCAACATGGTGGACATTGTTAACTTTGAGTAGCATTGAGAAAATGGATGTTCAGTTGGAGAGAACTGAAGATAGAATGAGAGGTTAGGATGTAGAATAAGTGAATATTAAAAAAAACAGTGCCAAATTTTACTGAGAATAGATCACTGAATATGACAAGGTCCTTTTCTTCCAGGAGGACCCTTGTATATGTAAAGTAAATATCTTTTATCAATAATCCTTGAAAAATGGTCTTTTTAAACCAAAAGGATATCACCTTTACATGAATAAGCACTTCATAAAGATCTGTTACTATAGGAAACGAACAAGTTAAGCTACATGACAAATTTTATAAAAAACATAAAATCCTCAATGCATCAGAAATTTCATTATCAGATTTTCTGACTGTTTATGTACAAACTAAAGATAGATGTCATACATCATCTCAAAAATTAAAATGCTGAAACATCATTGTTCAGAATATGACTGTTCAGAAAAGAACTATAGTTTTTTTTTTTTTTTTTTTAAAGATGATTTCTTTGTCCTATTTCCAAATCTTCCTAGACAGGTTGTTAGAGAGCTACCACATATAATACGTGTGAATTGAATAAGGATAAACGTGTCTTCTGCAACAAAAAGTCTGAGGTTTTATGTAATTATAGGCATGCTGAATGAATAGTTTAGAATAATGTGGCACTGTCATCAAATCATATCTTCATATACATGTGTAATCCATTTCGCACAATGGTTTCAACTCAGTGTGTATGTAATTAAATTGTAAGGTACAGTAATAGCTGCTGCTGAGTTGAAACTTTGCTTTTTCGGTTTAAAGAAATGAATAGAAAACATAATCAAGTGAACATCAAAGTACTTTTCTGAGACAGTTAAATCTCATCAAAGAGGTCTTCTGGACTGGTGTTTCTTAGAGTTTCTAAGGACATGTTTTCAGCTGAGCTGTGTTCCTTTTTCAATGTCTGAGGTAGTGAAGGATCAAGCCTAGAATAAAAAGAAAATAAAGATAATTTTATTTAAAAAAAAATGAGTCCATTGTAGAAGAAAAGAAGATTAAGTGATATATAAGTGAAATAAGTTAAATCCTGTTTTCAGAATTGCTTTAGAGAATTTATTTCCCTATTCTGTGTTAACCATAAAGAAAGAAGCATGAAAGGGATTTAATTAATAGCTTATAGAATTAATCTGTCTTGTCTTTTTAACAAATGGTGTTGGCAAAACTGCATGTAAAAAAATGAAAAAGGACACATACCTCACACCATATATACAAAAACTAATTCAAAATGGATCAAAGACCTAAATGTAAAACCAAAAACTATAAAAATCATAGAAGAAAAAACAGGATCAATGCTAGAGGCCCTCATACACAGCATAAACAGGATACAGACCATAACTAACAATACACAAACACCAGATGATAAGCTAGATAACTGGGATCTTCTAAAAATTAAACACTTATGCTCATCAAAAGATCACCAAAAAAGAGTATCTACATACTGGGAAAAAATTTTTGCGTATGACATATTCGACAAAGGTCTAATTTCTAAAATCTATAGGAAAATCCATTATCTCTACAACAAAAAGACAAATAATCCAGTTAAAAAATGGACAGAGGATATGTACAGACACTTCACCAAAGACATTCATGTGGCTAACAGATAGGTGAGGAAACGTTTGTAATCACTAGCCATTAGACAAAGGCAAATCAAAACTAAAGTGAGATACCATAATTGCAACCCCCAAAAATGTGTGTATCAATTTGGCTGGGCCATGACTCCCGGTATTGTGTGATTGTTCACCATTTTGTCATCTGATGTGATTTCTCTATGTGTTGTAAATCCTGCCTCTATTATGTTGATGAGGAGGGATTGGAGCAGTTGTGTTGATGAGGCAGGACTCAATCTACTGGATTGAACTGTGTGTTGAGCTGCTTTCTTTTGGGATATAAAAGAGAGAAGTGAGCGGAGAGACGGGGACCTCATACCACCAAGAAAGCAGTGCCAGGAGCAGAGCGCGTCCTTTGGAGCCAGGGTTCCTGTGCGGAGAACTTCCCAGTCCAGGGGAAGAGTGATGAGAAGAGCTGACAGACAAAGACAGCCTTCCCCTGGAGCTGACGCCCTGAATTTGGACTTTTAGCCTACTTTACTGTTAGGAAATAAATTTCTGTTTGTTAAAGCCATCTACTTGTATTTCTGTTATAGCAGCACTAGATAACTAAGACACCATCTTACCCGACATAACTGGCAAGAATCAAAAAAACAGAAAATAACACATGTTGCAGAGGCTATGGGGAGATTGGAACTCTTATGCACTGCTGGTGGGAATGCAAAATGATACAACCATTTTGGAAAACAATATGGTGATTCCTTAAAAAGCTAGAAATAGATATACCAAACGATCCAGCAATTCCACTTCTAGGAACACAGCCTAGAGAAATAAGTGCAATCACAGGAATAGACATATGCATACCCATGTTCATTGCAGCATTATTCATGATAGCAAAAAGATGGAAGCAACTTAAGTGCCCATCAAAAGATGAATGGATAAACAAACTATGGTACATACTCACCATGGAATACTACACAACAATAAAGAACAATGATGAATCTGTGAAACATCTCACAACATGGATGAATCTGGAGGGCATTATAAGTGAAATAATTACATAAATAAGTTCTATAAGTGAAATAAGTGAATCACAAAAGGACAAACACTGTATGAGACCACTATTATAAAAACTAATGAAACGGTTTACACACAGAAAGAAACAATCTTTGATGGCTACGAGGGAGGGAAAGGGTGGGGAGGGAAAAACACTAACTAGACAATAGACAAGTGGTAACTCTGGTGAAGGGTAAGACAGTACACAATACTGGGGAAGCGAGCATAACTTGACCAAGACAAACTCATAGATGCTCCACAGACACATCCAAACTCCCTGAGGGATCGAGTTACTGGGCTGAGGGCTGGGGACCATGGTCTCCGGGGACATCTAGCTCAATTGGCACAGCATAGTTTACAAGGAAAATGTTCTACATCCTACTTGGTGAGCAGTATCTGGGGTCTTAAAAGCTTGTGAGCTTCCATCTAAGATACATCTACTGGTCCCACCTCGTCTGGAACAAGGGAGAATGAAGAAAACCAAAGACACAAGGGAAAGATCAGTCCAAAGGACTAATGGAACACAACTACCACAGCCTCCATCAGACTGAGTCCAGCACAGCTAGATGGTGCCCAGCTACCACCACTGACTGCTTTGATAGGGATCACAACAGAGGGTCCTGGACAGAGCTGGAGAAGAATGTAGAACAAAATTCTAACTCACAAAAAAAGACCAGACTCACTCATCTGATGGCGACTAGAAAAACTCCAAGAACATTGCCCCAGACACCCTTTTAACTCAGTACTGAAGTTATTCCTGAGGTTCACCCTTCAGCTAAAGAGTAGACAGGCCAGTAAAACAAACAATAGTACACATAGCTCAACCATGTATACGAGACTAAATGGGAACACCAGCCCAGGGGCAAGGACAAGAAGGCAGGAGGGGAGAGGAAAGCTGGATGAATGGAAATGGGAACCCAAGCTGGAGAAGGGGAGAATGTTGACACATTGCGGGGTTGGCAACCAATGTCACAAAACAATATGTGTATTAATTGTTTAATGAGAAAATAACTTGCTTTGTAAATCTTCATCTAAAGTACAAAAAAAAAAAAAAAAGGTTAAAAAGAAAAAATATTCTGGAAAAGTAAAAAAAAAAATCTGTCTCTATGTTAACAAAAACTCAAAGGCCTACAAAAAGACTCATCATTAAGGTCAAGAAATAAAGTGCCCTCTGTGCTGCAGTCATTTTATGCCAAGATACAGGATGTTTCTCAATCCAGTCCTTTAATGATTCCATCACGATTTATATTTTCCTTCTGCTTCCGTAAATTATACCCATTAACATACATTTTAATTTCATAACGGTAGAACTTTTTGGGCCACAAAAATTTCCTTTAGTGGTCAATTTGACTATAAGTGTGTATATAATTAATGATGAGTCTTAACATTTATGTGCATGGAGCCCTGGTGGTACAGTGGTTAAGAGTTTGGCTGCTAACCAAAAGGTTGGTAGTTCAAATCCACGAGCTGCTCCATGGAAACCCTATGGGGAAGTTCTACTCTGGCTTATAGCGGTGTTATGAGTCGGAATCGACTCTACGGCAACAGGTTTGGTTTTTTGGTTTTCTT